GGGAACCGGAGTCTCATGGGTTTGGGGGTGAGATGTACCCTGCCGGCAGTTGATACCAAAGTGCAGACTGGGCTGCTCTGCCACCCCGTCCCCCCAGTCCCCCACCCCACGGCATCACCACTGGCAGCAGATGATGCCAGCTGCTGTGGGCAGGGAGGGTGCACCTCACCCTATGACAGCCTGGCAGGTGCACCTTGGGCCCAAACCAGGTCCACAGAGGAAGGCGTCTCGGCAGCCAGGGCACAGCTGTGATTCTAGCACTGATGAGCTAGCACCTGGTGGCTGGCCCTAGGGTGCCCACAAGGCCCCACATGGCCCTGACCTCCGTAAGCCTGTGATCCCCACGATATTCCCACCCTCTTCCCTCAGCCTAAGACCCCCCTGCTCCCTAACAGGCACTCATAGCTCCCCCTCCCCCTCCTCCCCCAGGGGGCTCTCGTGGCTCCGCTGAATCTCATGCTCATTCTGGGGGTACTTGGGGCTCAGAGGGTTGCCACTTGTCTGCAGGACCTATGCTCCACCTGTGCATGAGACCCCCTGCCCCAAATACCACCTCCTGCTGAGTGTGGGAATCCATGGAGGAGTGAGAGAGAGAGAGAGAGAGGCTTTAAGTCTGATGAAACACGGCCTCTGCCTGCGTGTGGCTGGGAAATGCAGCACCTGTTACTCTTGCAGCCTATCAGTTCCACTTTCCCTGGACCCCCAGGTGGTCATGAAGCCCCTGATCCAGCCCTTCCTGAAGCTGAACTCAACAGTCCCCTGGCTCCCTAACCTGGTATCTGGGGCTGGAGATGGGACCTCTCAAGTTCCCAGATGATGCCTGTGGATAAAATGAAAGTTCCCATGCCCAGGATTCTCACCTGGCACTGGTCAGCTAGCTCACTACACACGTGTGGGCAATACGTTGCTATTGACTCTGTATAAAGAGCTCCGCCCAGTGTTCTGGGCAACACGGTGGCACGGCTGCAAGGCTGCAGGAGAGCAGAGCAGAGGTTGGAGTGGTGGCAGCGCCAAGGACAGAAGCCCAGAGAATGGCTGTGCAGGATGGCTGTGCAGGCAGAGGGGCCCAGAGGCAGAGACTGGCTTGCTGTGTGCAGACTCGCTCTGAGTGAACGGGATTTTAATGACTGACCTGCCACCATGGAAATAAAGTCAGGTATAACCCTTTTGCCCCAAGAACATTCTCCTGTCATTTCTTTGGTCACACTGAATCCATAGTGAACTTGCCCGGGGCTGAAATCCATTGGCAAGACAGCAGCCCTGCAGCTATGCATCCAACCCTGCAGGTCACGTCGGACTCCAGGAGTACATTGCGTGGGGTCCATGTTGTTTCTAAGCACCCATCTGTAAACACTGGCGCGGCCAGAGATGCGGACCCATCTGGCATAGCTCACCTGGGGAGACGTCATTGATAAAACTCAGAGTGAGCAGCCCCCAGGTGGCTGAGGTGAGCCCTCCTGGGAACCAACAGGTGTTCATTCGTGTTTAAAAACTGACATAGGCTATTCAGTGAGAAAAATGGGCAAATAGTAAATAGCACTGGGAAAGAGACAGAGACAGTACCAGCGGAGCCCACTTCTCTCAGTGTGGGGGAGGCCAACGGTTTTCTTCAGTTGCTTATTTTCAAATAATTACAGATTCACAAAGAGTTGCAAAGAAGTCCAGGGGTCCAGCGCATCCCCTTCACCTGGTGACCTTTCCTGTAGATCCGTATCAAGGTCAGATCTGGAAGCCGGCCCTGGTGGTGCCTCAGAACTGGCTCAGACAGGCAACTTTTATTTCCGTTATGTTTTGGTTATTTTCAAAATTTCCAGGAGAGACAGGTGATATCTATTTTTAGCTCCCTATTTTTCGTTCTTCAATTATGTAAGGACACACCGTAAATCTTTGTTTCAAGAATTTAAAAGGTGGCTGCCCAGGGGTAAAGCCGCCGACACCACTGCCCCCTGGGGGTGACCGCCGCCCTTGCAGGCTGAGCTGTGCCGGGACCTGCTTGCAGAGCACCTGCTCCCGGGCGGCGGGAGGGAGCGGCCTCGGCCCAGCCGACTTGCCTTTCCAGGGAGAGTCCCTGGCTGTTTCCATCCTTCTACTTTGTAAATTAGCAAAACAATGCGTGTTTGGAATTTCTGAAGTGAAACAGACTGCTTCTTCCCTTCCAGCCTTAAGGCACCAGGATCACAGAGAGCAGACCACAGCCGTGCCCCCAGGGCCTGGCCAGTCCCTAGCTTGTTCTTTAACTTAGTCTATATGCTGTTCTTCCTTCCTTCAGCCCCTGAGTCAATTGCAGAACTGTGTAACCAGGATGAGAGATAGACCCCCGGAGGGTAAACAAACTTACCTGGTAAAGAATGCTGAGATCCGGATCGACTGCCACCTAAACAACCCTATTCTTAAGCCAATACTTATAAGGAAATACGAATCACCTGTGTACATCATGCCTTCTGCCGACGCCTACCCAGAGGGCCTTGTAAAGCCCCGAACCCTTAAGCGCGCCCCTCTCTGAGGCCCCCCGCGCCCCACCTGGGCGTGTGCTCTCACATCAAACGAACTCCCGTGTGTCGTGAGCCCGTTGCCCCGTCTCCTGACTCTTTCCCACGGTAACAAGGACTCGCCAGCCTGCACCTCGGCGGTGAATGTTTTCGCCACTTTCCCATGTCATCCAGCTTCCCAGTCTTCACACAATCCTTTCCTCTCTCCCTTTTTTTATTTCAGATCAGTAAGGAAGTGGAAGTTCTCAGAACATAAGTTCACTCCATCCAGTGCTCCACAGCTCCCCAAGTCCTGGGGTGGGAGGGGGTTCCAGGGCCGTGCAGCTCAAACGGGCACTGGATGCCGGGTTGTTACGGAAAACCTGGAAAACCTGGACCGGATCGCTGACGGAAAAACCAAGCGGCACTCGGAGGCCTTGGAGGGCTGAGGTTTTATTTCACACCGGCGGGCTCAGAGGGGAGTCATCTCCCAAGGTCTGCGCGCTGTGCCCTAGCAAGGGGAGCAATTTAATTATCTTGGTATGTGGCATTTCCGCAGGCGCAGGACAAGAGGAGCCCCGGGGAGGAAGGAGGGAGCCGGGGGTGCTCTGCTGACTTTGCCAACGGGGGAAAAGGCAGTTTGCTGACCTTGACGGCTGTGTTGGATATTTGCCTTGTCAAGGTGACTCCTGGCAGGGGATCCACATGGAGCTGGAGTCCGGTGACTTTCCCTCCCTCCCGGCCCTCCCCCACCCTCTGCCGCCTGCCCGCCACTGCCGTCCGCGGCTCCTCTCGCGTTAATGAGTCCCCTCCTTGCTGGCACCTGTTTAGCCTGGTGGAGAATTCCTTCCCAATCCGAGTCAAGAGCCTCCCCGTCCAGCCGAGGCTGAGGCTTTGTCTGGAGTGCAGGGAGAGCCCTCCCCAGATGTGGCTGCCCAGCAACACAGCTACCACAGCAAACCGCACAGTGCACAGCTCCGTGGCCCACCTGGGGGGCTGGGAGGGGGCAGAGGAGGCCCACAAGGGCTGTACTGATTGCTGCCCGTTTCCCAGTCACCGGGATTCCCCACAGGAGACCAGGTTTCTGTAGGCTGCTGACAGGACAGGGCTTCAGGGCTGGCTAGGGCCCTGGCAACTCTGGAGCCGAGTGGCAGGTGCAGCCAGACAGTGGCAGGGTCTCCTCAAGGACGGGTGGCAGCCCCCCATTCCCCAGAAGTGAGGCACAGGCGCTGCTGGACAGGAGCGTGCTGCAGGTGGCGGGCTCAAGCAGCTGCATGAAGGGGCACGGGGGCAGCTGGGGCTGCAGATGGGGTGGAGCCCCCACCTCCTCCCAGCTCCTCTTTGAGACCCCGTGGCCGGCTGTGGCCCTCCCTGGCCTGGCCCTGGGAATGGTTTCACTGCCAGCACTGGGGCCGGTGAGCCCCACAGCCCCGCATGGTCAGCAGTGTCTCAGTGAAGTGGGTTCCTCTTTTCATTCTAGGCTGGCGCAATGTGAGCAGGCATGTGCTGACTGGGCAACAGCCAGGGTAGGTAAGAGAGAGGGCATGGGGTCTGAGCAGGTGGACGTGTCTGCCCCAGAAGCGGGCTGAGGGTTTGAGCTCCTGGGGGAGAGGGCACTTGGGGGCAGAGCCCCAACCTCATCTGGTCTTCCTCTGTCCTCACACCAGGACTTGTCCCTCGGATCCTGCTCTGCCCACCTGGGATGCCAGCTTCCCTAGGGTTACAGCCCTCCTCCCATGTTCCCTCGCTATTGGGTTTAGAGCCTTGGGGCCCTGGGCTTAGGCTGGATGGCACAGACCTTGTGGCAACAGCCAGGTTTGAGGAAAGGCCATGGGAGTGAGCACAGTCTTGAACCCTGTGCCCCAAGGCTGGAGTACACCCTGGCCTGATTTGGCCTGGGGCATACGAAGCAGGCAGGGGGCCTCCTGGGGTTCGGCCTGGGGCAGTGGGCTGGTTCTGAGGCAGAGCAGGGCACGTGGGAGGCAATGGGTGGGTGGTCTGGTCACCTGAGCAGCAGGACTGGCTTGACACAGCAGCTGGAACTAGGAACCCTCCCCCGTCCCCGTGCCTGGTCACAGCAGGCTCAGGCATTCTAATTCCCACGGGAAAATGGCACGTGCACGGTGAGGGTACCCCTACAGCCTAGTCAGTGCAGCCCCCCAGCCTCCAGAAGCACACAGGCCCATCTGTCCCCCAACTTCACAGCCTGAAGACAAGCTACTTGCAGACCTGCCGGGCCTCCTGCTCCGGCCGTGGGCACAGGAGGTCTCAAGCCCCTTCTGGCTCCAGGTTCAGAGCAGAACATTCAGGTAAACGCGCTGGGGCCAGTCCAGCCCTTCACCGGGCACCCCTGCAGTCTCAGCTACTGTGTCACCCCTGGGGGGGCCGCCCTTGCCTTCCCTCCCCCCCAGCAGGCTGATTGGTCAGCTCATCAGCTGGAACCTTCTGCTCTCAGTGGCCCCTCCTGGCCACAGCACTGACCCACAGCACACCCTGCCCCTTCTGCTGCCCTGCCCACAGCCCTCTGCTGCCTGGGAGTCCTCTGCTCCAGCCTCTCTCCCTTTGTAGCGCCTTACCCAGCAGAGCAGAGCCAGACCTGCAGCCTCCACAGCGGGCCCCCATGGCCTGGGAGCCCCGTGACACACCCCACTGCAGAGAGCATGTGATTCTGGTTGTCACACTGGCCCCTTCCAGAAAGTGACGGGCCCCCTGGCTACTCTCCCACCTGGCGGGGGTGCCTCATTGCCCAGCGGTTGGAGGCAAAGACCACCACTGTCCCCAGGCAGGGCCCCGGGGTCAGAAGCTCGGAGGCAGGCTGGCTGGGCACATTCCAGGACCAGCCATCCCGTGGCCCCAGCAGAACCGCAGAACCAGTCAGCGCTAGTGTTTGCTCTATGGGGCCGGAGGACAGGGCCAAGGGCCATGGCTGTGGCCCAGAACTGAGCTGCTCAGCAGTTGGCAATGGCCGAATGTGGGGGCACTGTGGACCCCACTCTCTGTGTGGCCACATCGGTGGCCAGGGTGCCGGCAGTGCCCTGCCCCGGGGAGGCTGGGATCACGTGGATGGGCAAATCCTGGGCCAGCTGCGCCCCCTGGCAGAGGAGGAGGGGGCCGCCCCACCTGCGAGGCCTGCCTTCCCTGGGATGGGCTCGGAGGAGCTGCGGCTGGCTTCATTCTACGACTGGCCACCGACCGCCGTGGTTCAGCCAGAGCTGCTGGCTGCTGCCGGCTTCTTCCACACCGGTGAGTCCTGAGGAGCCGTGGCTCTGCCTTCTTCCCCCACGGCAGGGAGGGTCTGGCCTATAAGGGGGTGGGGACCCCAGAGCCCTTCCCCACCTGCTAGTCTCTGCTAGTTAGGTGCTTCAGACTGTAACAGGTGTGTCCGGGGAGGGGCCCCAACAGCACAGGACAGCTGGAGCTGGGCAGAGGACAGGAGGCATGTGGGTACCTGTGGGGCCCCCAGAAGTCCAGGGACAGGCTCCCAGAGGTCTCGTGGCAGGATGTGCCGATAGCAGCCACCCATCCGCAGTTTCCGCACCAGGTGAGGTTCTGTCGCCTGTGGGCCCTGAGGCGGAGGCGAGAGCTGCCTGGAGGTAGAGATGAGCCGTCCCATACCCCAAACGGAGCTGGGGGCCTGGCAGTTTCCCCTTCCCTCCATCCTGGGGAGGGAGCTCTCAGGGCAGAGGTGACAGGGTAGTTCTGTCCCCCTCTCCACACTAGGCTGCAAGGCGGCAGGAGGTCCCAGCCCGAGGGTTGGCCCCCCACCTACCTGCCTTCCTGTGACAAGGCACCCCTGTTACTTTCATCAGCATTCTTGTCAGTCCCCAAGTGCCCCAGGCAGATGTCCCCAGTGACCTGTGAGAAACAGTGTGAGGAGGAAGGGAATGGCCAGGCCAGTGGGAGCCCCCAGGGCATAGGAGTGACTCAGAGAGTCCCCGCCCTGTAAGGAAAGCCCACCTGGGAGCCCCCCACCCCGGTCCCAGCCTTGGGAGACACCCCTGAGCACCTTGTCTCCACGCCAGGCCGGCAGGACCAGGTGAGGTGTTTCTTCTGCTGCGGAGGCCTGCAGAGCTGGGAGCGAGGGGATGAGCCCTGGACTGAGCATGCCAGGTGGTTCCCCAGGTAAGGGCTCCGTCCCAGCTGGTGTCAGGCTCGGGGTTGGGGGACCCTTGTGCTGTTTCTTCCTTGCTGCTCAACAGAGGCCAAAACAGCCTTCCCAGCAAGTACCCGGCCCTCCCAGGGGTCCCAGGTGCCCACAGCGGGGGACTGTCGGGGACACTGGAGCAGCAGGCTCGACCCCAGCCAGAGGGGCTCCTGGGGCTGGAGCTTGGCGGTGAGGGGCCCACTGCCCATGCGGTGTCTGAGCTTCCTTCAGGTGTGAGTTCCTGCTCCAAACAAAAGGAAGGGAGTTTGTCCGCAGAGTCCGGGAGGCCCGCGTCCACCTGCTCGACTCCTGGGTGAGTCCTGCCTCTGCTCAGGGCCCGGCGCGGGGACCCCCTGGCCCCGCTCCTCCATCTACTCAGGGAACTAATGTCCTCTGGCTCCTTCCAGGACCAATCAGAGGAACCAGAGGATGCAGCCACCACCTCTCCCTCAGGTGAGCCACAGCGCAAGGCCCGAACTCAGCTCCCTCGGGCGGCTGCAGCCTGCTCTGTGGCAGGGGCTTGGTGTCCCCCTGCTGGACAGCGGGGACATGAAGGCCACTTGGCCGGGGGTGAGGTGCGGCACAGGCTTGCTCCCTGGGGGCTGCGCAGGCACTCTGGGTGTGGAAGGCTGCAGGTGAGGCCAAAGCAGCCCCCAGCTACCAGGTGGGTGCAACCAATCAGGCGGCACGGTGGGAGAGCGGAGGCTGTGCAGGAGGGGCCTCTTCTGGGGTGGCCGCTGGCCACAGCCATAGTCACGAGCCCACAGACAGAGCTGAGCTCTGCCCTCACACTGGTGCCCAGGGCCTGTGGGGCAGGAAGTCCTGGGGGCGCTTCTGTCTGACTCTAGCAAATGACTTTTGCTCTCTGAGCTTCGGTGCCCTGAGCTGTGAAATGGGGATGGTGCCAACCCCGTTTGGGATTAGATGGGGGGTGTCCATGTGACCCTCCGCGACAGTACCTGGCACCTGGTGGCGCTTCACCCATGTACCTCTGTCTTTCCCGGGTGGCAGCCCCTCTTAACAAAGGCTCAGGAACACAGCGCGCTCCTTCACTGCACCTCAGCGGAACACAGCCCCACTTGGACGGCGACAGAGCAGCCGCAATGGCCACAAAGGCCCCTTGTGTTGAGGTGGCCCTGGTGGTCAGCCGCAGTGGTGGGCTGCCTGCCTCTCTCTGACAACCCTTAGGCCCTGCCCCTTGCCCTGCCTCACAGGTGCCAGGGATGGCCTGCGTGCAGCCAGTGCCCAGAGGTGTTGGGCTGTGCTCCAAATGGGCTTCGCCTGAGCCGGGTGTGGTAGTAGCTGCTGTACAGAACAACCAGGCGGGGGCCAGACAGCGAGCCTGTGGGGCAGCTGGCAACAGCCCCTCTGCAGGAACACGGCCGCTGCTCCCTGGGCCCTGCCCGCCCCCTCCTCCTCTCACTGCTCACCCCTTCCAACACTGCCCTCTCTCACTGCCCCCATGGCGATGGCACTCAGTGTCCTTGCCCAGGGGGCTGGTCGGCACAGCGCCCTGCAGAGGAGTTGGTCTGGGGGCCCTCAGCGGCTGCTGGAGGCAGTGCGAGGAGCTGGGCTGGTGCTGGGCCTGCCTGTGGCCGGCCGCCTCTGGGTGCAGCCTCACTTTCCCTGGGGGACTGAGCCCCAAGTGTCTTCCTCACTGCCCACAGCTCCTGTCCACCCATGTCCAGAGCTGCCCACAGCCAGCAGACAGACCCAGCTGGAAGGTGCCAGGGAGCCAGGTGAGGGTGGGGCCCACCTGGGGGTGGGGCTGGCTCTCCTGCCCCTGGAGTAAGAGGGCAGGATGTCTGGGGCAGGGCTAGTTGATGTCCCAATCTGGCCCAGCCTGCCTGCCACGGGCGGGCGAGGACAACTTGGAGGTCAGGGTGTGGGGATGAAGTCACAGGCCTGCCCGCTTGGAGGAACCAGGTGGAATCAAGGCCCCAAAGGTGCCCCCGGGTCCTCGAGCCCCCAGAGCCCAGGACGCAGAGGAGCAGCTGCAGCGCCTGCGGGAGGAGCGGACCTGCAAGGTGTGTCTGGACCGGGCTGTGCAGGTGGTTTTTGTGCCCTGTGGCCACATGGTCTGCACTGAGTGTGCACCCGCCCTGGAGCTGTGCCCTGTCTGCAGGGCCCCCATCCACAGCTGCGTGCGCACCTTCCTCTCCTGAGCCAGGTGAGTGTCCAGAGGCAGGCAGAACCCCGTGTGGGCTTCAGCGGCGTCACTGCCCAGGCGACCCTGTCTCTTGCCATCCTGACACTGGGACCTGCTCAGCGGCATTTCCTCCTTCCCTCACCGCCCTGGCCCTGACAGATGTAGCTAACCAGCCCTATTATCTTGATGCCTAGAGACTCTTAGTCCTCAGCAAAGCACCCTGGGCCACCGTCAGCTTGGGCACATCAAAGGCCACCTGGCAGACTCATCTCTGTCTTGACTTCTGTAGTGGGGAGCAGAGGGTTATGCCCCCTGTCCAGCTGGGTGTACAGAGCTGCAGCACACCAAGGGCAGGGCGGCTTTGGAAGCAGCGGGGAAAACACCACACCCCTTAAGAGGAAGGGCCCGCACCTGCCTAGCAGGGACCTGGATGGGAATCTTAACCCAGAGCCAAAGCCTAGTGGGAGTGCGTGCCAGGTGCAGGGGGCACGTGAGCCCCCAATGCCACAGAATGGGGACCAGGGCCTTCTCAGGGTTTTCTCAAAGGCTACTGTGCCCTGAGGTCTCCTTGAGAGGGGGTAGAAGTGGAAGGGAAGGGCACTCCCTGGGGGCTGAGGGTTCCATTCAAAGAGGACCTGGAGTTGCTGACTCACCCCTCTGTCCCCACTGCAGGTGCTGCGGACACTCCGTGAGGGGGGTGGGGGTGACCAGTTTGGATGCTTTCCAAGATTCACAATAAAGTGGTGGGTTTCCTCCGATGGTGCTCAGCAACCTCTGTTCCAAAACTTCCGGCCCCCTCCCAGCCCCCTCCCGGCCACCCTGCCCCAGGCGCTCAGCTCTGCTGGCCCCTCCTCACCAGCAGGGCGGCTGCTCCAGGCCTCCCCCAGGTGCCTCCTCTGCTCCAGGGCCCCCCTTCCCCCTCCTGCCCCGCCCCTTGCCCTTAGCTTTGCAGCACTTCAAGGGCTTCTGGAGTCACCTAGGTTAAAACCCCTTTAGAGATGAGCATGTGATTCCTAGCCAGCTCCTGCGTCTCAGGAAAGCTGGTGCACAGGCAGGCTCCTTTTTGTTGACCACTTGCAGCTGCCTTGGGGAGGCTGTAGACTATTTGACCCAAACCCCTTTTCAGGAACAGTGTCACCAGTTCATTCTAATTGCAAGGCAACGCCTTGCCCTGTGGGCACAGCACCTAGGGAAGGTGAGGTCTGCCAGGGTGGGGTGTCAGGGGCTTACACTGAGCTTTGCGGTGAGATCACACTTCCCCATCTCACAGTCCCTGTGTCCAGCCCCCCACCTCAGTGGTGCATGCACCCTCTGGGGATCTGGTGGCCCCAGAGCGGCTTCCGAGATCTGGGGCTTCCGAGAGGACAGCCCAGGCCCACTGCAGGAGCAGCGTGCAACATGACTGCATTGTGGCTGCGCAGAGAGTGTGGCTTCCTTTTGCATTTTCTTTTTTTAGAAAAAGGAAACTACAAACTCTTTTGAGGTTGCAGCCATCCCTGGCCTGGTGCTGGCCTTGCCACACAGGCTGGCGTCCAGTCACTTGACCTGGGACAGGGAGGACGCAGCCCTCTCTTGGAGTCGCCTTGCCATCTTTGGTGGTCACTAAGGACCAGGACCTACTTATGCAGGACTGTGGGGAGTGAGCAGGGGTCAGAGGGCCCCTGAGAAGCAGCTCCCAGCTGGGCGGTCAGTGGTCAGCAGAGGCAGCTGTGCCCTCTTCACTTGGAGAGCTTGAAATGCAAACAGGACAAAATTCAAGAAGGGCGGACCTTCCTGGCCTTTGGCAAAGGGGTCGGGGGCAAGGGGCTGGGCTCTGGAAGGCCTGGCCCAGACCTGGGGAGGATGGAGGTCTCCAGAGAAGGACCACAAGCCACCTCTTCTGACCCCAAATTCCAGGGTTACATGTGGGGCAGGGCCCAGCACCCCACCCCAGGCCCAGGGTGCCCAGGGCTGTGGGCACTGCTTTTCAAGAGGGAAGATGTCTGATCTTCTAAAGATAGGACACCCCATATTCCTGCCCAGGTGAGATCCCCCTCGGAGAACGTCCATATTGTCCTCCTGGGAGGTGGCCACTCCGTGCCCCCTCAGACCCTGGCTCAAAACCTGCTTAGGCTCAACTGCTGGGTATAGACCTCCAGGGGGTGGAGGCCAAGCCCCAGAGCCAGTATGGAGCAGATCTCAGAGAAGTGGGGGTGGATGGACGGACGGATGAAGGGCAGATGGACAGGCAGATGCGTGGTGAGGCCTCTTGGAGGAAAGGAGCCTGTGGCTGTGCTAACCTGCTTGCGGGCCCAGATGGGCACGGGCTCTGCTGGCCACGCCTGCAAGTGCGCCTGCTTGAACAAGAGGCTGGAGGCGTCTCACTGACATGGCAGAGGGAACGGGTCAAATCCAGGAAGGAAATCAACGGAAAGAAATCAAGACCCAAATAAACAGGACCCGAACAATGAAAGAGGTGGCAGAATGGGCAACACTGCCAGCCACAGACGCTCCGGTGGTGATGGCAGAGGCTGGAACACCCTGAGGGCTTGGCTCTGGTCCTCGCCGAAGGCCAGCACTGTGAGTGACCCCAGAAGGGTTTCCAAGGATGTTGTCGCTCTCGCCAGAGGGTGTGGCCTGGGCCACCGAGCGGGACTGACAGCTGGCACCTGGGGGGTGCACCATGAGCTGCATGGCCCCCACCATGCCCACGAACATCACCCACCCTTGTGTCTGCCAGCTAGTGGGTGAAGCTGAAGCATTTTGGAACAGGGCTGCCTCCTGTCCTGAAGAGTTTTAACATAAGCCGCACACGAAGCCCCTTGTGTTCCCTCCCAGCCAGCTGTGGTCTGGGCAATGGATCGGGGCCACGCAGTACAAGGGCTGGAGGCCACTGGGGGCTGGTCTGGGCGCGAGCCTTGTCTGAGTGTGGGATGCCACTTGGCCACGTTGGCCGCCCATCCCACGGTCGCCAGACTCCTGGGAACGGAGGCTCTGAGGTCCCACCCCGACCCCCGGGGACGTTCTGTGTGCTCCCAGCCCTTGCCCACCCCAGCTCTGTCCTTCCCACAGGACCACGTCAGAGCTGGGGGCCGTCAGGGCCCTTGAGGACACAAGTGTTGGCATTGCGTGTGGAGGGACAGTCGGAAGGCTCACCAATGGGGAGGGGGGAGAACACGCCCCGAGGGATCCGGGGCTCAGCTGCAAGCGGGCAGTGTGGCCCGTTCCAAGAGCTGAGCTACAGAGGACAAGGACAGTGGGGCGTGCACGGGGGCCCTCCAACCTGGGGAGCTGGCCCAGGTGTCCACAGCCCGGGACCCCTCCCCATTGCCTCTCAGGGGGCTGGACCCCCACTTTCTCCTCAGGCAAGGACTCCCGTGGCCATGAGGACCCAGCTAAGGGGTGAGGTCTCAGGCTGTGACAGAATGTCCGGGGGACCACCGCCTCTGTGGCCAGCACTCTGCTTCGCCCTCCCTCCTCCTCCCTGGCGTGGGGGCGGCGTGCGGGTCACCACAGGCTTGGCGCCCGCACACTTACAACTGTCTTCCTCCTGGGTGGCAGCATCGACCATGTGGCGGGCACAGATGAAGGCCACAAGCTGAAAGACAGCACAGGGCTGGGGTGAGGCAGCCCAGAACTCCGGGAGGATCACGCTCAGTGTGTCCCATCTCAAGTTCCTCGTCTGTAAAGTGGAACAAGGAGAGCCGATCTGCATAGCCTCATCAGCTCCCCGTTTCCAGGTGGTGTCTGACTCCCTGGGGCTGCCTGGCCCCACGGTTGACACGTTGGGGAAGGCTGGACAACGGACACATGAGTGGGAAAGATCACGAAGCCTCTGCTTTAACGGTGTGAGATGCAGAGAGCAGCTCTTGGAGCCGTGACCTCGGCCTGGATGCACCTTCTCCAGCTCCGGCTCCCTGCAGCCAGGCCATCCTCCCCAGGGCCTCTGCCTTAAGCAGCCAACCCCCAGGATTTTCCTCCTTGGGGAGGGCGCCATCTACAGGTAGCCACAGCTGGTGAGTTGTAAGCCCGCCCAGCTCGTGGTTCCAACAAGAATATAGGAGACACAGATGGGGCTCAGCCCAGTGGGCAGTGCTGGACAGAGCTCCTCCCCCAGGCCCCTCAGAGGATGCCCAAGCTTGAGGGGCGAGAGGACAGGTCTGCGCTAAGTCCATGGACTCCTGGGGCCCGGGGCCACTGCGGGAGGAAGGGCTGGCACACTCACACAGCCCAGGCAATGCTAACCACGGCACGAGATACTCCAAAGCATGGCGTCTACCACCATTTGCCACCATCAGGGCCTGCATCCTCCTTAATGAGAACGAGGGGGACCAGCCCCGAGTCGCAGCAGGGCTGACAGCCAGTGCATGAGCGGGCAGGAGCACAAGGGCTCGTTTGTAACAGGCCAGCAAAATGCACCCAGATGCCACAGGGACAGCTGACAAGATCCCCGTCAGAAGCCCACGGCACTGCGGTCTGCCAGGATCCTGGAGGACCATCATCGGGAGGCTGGATGAGAAGAAAATTCCACCTCCTTCACAGAAGCTGGAAACCCGAGGTGGCCCAGGGCAGGCCAGGTCATGCCCTCTGGCCTCCAAGTTCAGTAGGTCAGCCCCACGTCCTGCAGGGCACCACCAGTTGTTCTTTGAGTACCTCCTGCATCAAGCAGTGGTCTTGATCCGTGGACATAGCTCAGAGCAAGGGTCCATGGGGGTGGGTTGTGTTCCACCCACCGCTGCAGAACCTCCCTCCGCATTCTGCACCCTGAATGGTATGCACAGTGTCCATAGGCTCCAGTTCAGTTTGGGGGGGCCTGGAGCCCAGCAGGAGATGGGAGGGAGGGAGGAGGGGAGGGCATGCGCCCCCCAGCCCTTCTCTGCAGGGTTAGTGCTGGGGGACACCTCCAGCTCGGGGTGGGGGCACAGCTGCACAGGACGCTGCCTAGGCGTCTGAACTCCTCCCCACCCCCACGCTCAGCGGCACGCACGCCCAGGAGAGGGGTGCCCATGTGGTCCTGCCACAGCACCCACACTCAGAACAGCTGCTTTACCATCCCGGGGAATTAGCCTGATCAGAGTGACTTCTCTGTCTTGCTGGGCCCCTGACTGACTGAGGGGTGACAGAAGATGCCCCACCGGGACACCTGTAGTGGGGGAGCTACAGCAGGTCTTCTGAGAGAGGGTGGGGGTCTGTGAGGCCCCTGGGAGGGACAAGAAACGCCACAGCATGGGGGCAGGAAGGTGGTGCCACTTCAGGACAAGGGGCCCTGGGAAGGAGAGGGTTTCCGGCAGCCTTCTGGGGTGACGCTGTCAGCAGCAGTGAGACTGCAGGTGTTCACTCAGCCTCTAGATCTTAGTTTCTTCATCCACAGAATAGGCCTGACAGCTCCCCTGGAGGCCCTGACCCTCATCAGAAGAGGAGACAGTCGGCCTGGTGCCTGCGCCCAGGGTAGCTGGGAAAGCCCAGGCTCTGAGGCCCCTGCTTGGAAGCCCAGGTCCTTCCAGGCAGCGGGTCACGGGCCTCCCCTTCGCCGACCTGGCTAGCCCGTCTCTGTGTTATGGAACAACAAACTTGAGATGCCTCCCCAAACAGTGTTTCGGGGGCTCAGTGGGCCCTGGGGGGCCACCCCCTGCCTGGTGTTCCTCCGCAGGAAGGAGCCGGGCCCTGGGACCTGGCCCTGGTGCTGAAAACACCTCTCCCTGCAAAGCTTTTCCTCTGCTGGGGCGGCCACCCACCCCGCCTCCCGACTGCCCATCCTGGCCACCCCCTGCCTCAGCAC